AAATCACAACAAAGTTGTCTCAGGGACTTTACAGGAACATTCACATAAAAGCCAATTAGTAAAGTTCTCTATCTAAGGAATCCAGCAGACAAGATGAATCGTGTCCTACTCAGACACCACGAGATGTACAATGACGGGGGATCGAACCCAGTACCTTTGGTCCCGAGTCCGCTGCCCTGCCTCTACCCCATCTCGAAGTTTCTAATTTTGAAATGAATTAATTAAATAAGTAAATAAACTTTTTTTAGCACCGCCCCTGGTGACAGGTGGCGGGTGACAGGCATTCCTTCAAGGAGTTTCTGACTGACCTATACCCACATCAGGTTATGGTCCGGTCTCCTGGTTTCTCTGTGTGTGTGTGTGTGTGTGTGTGTGTGGTGGTGGTGGTTGGGGGGGGGGGTCTGTGATGACGTCAGCAGGGCTTAGAAGAAGAGGATCTCCTCACGCAAATGGACTAGCGCACACGCACAGTTGCAGCTCCTCTTCCTCCGCTGCTGGCTGGGACATGCTTGCTGCAGCGTCCGGGTTCGATCCATCTTCTGGAGGACTTGCGCAGACCTGGACCAAGAGTGAACCTTAAAGGCGAACTGAGCCCGGGAGGGGAAGTTCCAGTTTGGGTCAGATGTTCCGTGCGGAGGGACGTGTTGCTGCTCAGAGGAGGTTCTGAAGGTCCAGCTCCTCGAACTGGTCCAGGAGCTCAGCTGAGTCCCACATCCGGTCCATCCGGTCCATTCAGACCATGCTCCTTGTCTCCATGGTGACAGTGGTTCAGACTGCGCGGTGCTGACAGTTCTGTGCGCGGCTCGTTTGGGTTGGGACGGTTCTGCTCGGCTCCCTCATGCTGCTCCTCCGGCTGGCCTGGCTCCTGACAGCTGCAGCGCTCTGCTCCCTGCTCCTGCTGCTCCTGCTGCTCCTCCACGGACACCTCCTCACAGGAGGTACGGCTGTGGCTCCGGGTCTGGCTCCGGGTCTGGGTCTGGGTCGGTTCGGTCTCCTAAACATCTTCTAAGTTTTTGGCACCAGATTGATCTGACTCCTAAGATGAAGATAAAACCAGTTTATTATTATTATTATTTGAATTCAGATGAATAATAATAATAATAATAATAATAATAATTAATAATAATTAATTATTATTATTATTAAATAATAATTAATTAATTAATATTATTAAATAATAATAATAATTATTATTATTATTATTATTATTTATTATTAATAATAATAATAATAATAGGTTAATAATAATAGAACTAAATTAAAGAAAGGCATCCTAATTTTATGTTTATTAAACTCCACAATTTAAAAATTTAAAATAAAAAGACAACAACAAAAAAGTATATATTCCTAAAGTTATAGAAGAAAACAAAAGTGTTTGTTAATAAACATATTTTATATGATTTATTAAATATTCCCACCAGCCCACGTCCAAAACACTTTATCATTCCATCTGCACATTATATCACATCACAGTTTAATCTCGGAAATGTTGTGAATATGCAAGAAAAATAACAATTTCTTTATGTAAAACTAGAGTCAAGTTATTAGAAAGAGAATTATTTCAAACTGTAAAGTTGTTCACGTCACTTTGTCTTGTTTCTCGTGTTGTGGTGCACGTCCTCCAGATCACACGAGTGTTTTCTTGTCAAACCTGCAGCTTTAGTTAAACCTTCAGAAGGAAAACAACCAGCCTTTCTTTCAGTTTAGTTTAGACTTTGATTTATTAAAAAGAGCTGTTGCTGACAAATCCCAGAAATATTTTATGATTGTTTAAATGTTCCTGTAAACTCCCTGTTCCTTTTTGAACTTTTAGCATTTCTTCTGAAAAATCCGCCATTGTAAGTTTTTATAAAGACGTGTTTTTAGTCATGATGTTTTTCCGTCATCTAGCTGCACAAATTATAGCAGAACCGGTCCAGATGTTTGGAAAACAGCTGTTGTGCTGCCATTATTGAAGAGAGGACACCCCACTGTACTGAACAATTATCCACCAAACTCTGTATTTTAGTTAAGGTTTTATAAAAACTGATAAATACTCAAGTCAAGAAGTATTTGGACTCTTAATATTTTATCTTCTCTCCAATCTGGCTTCAGGAAACAACACAGCACAACGATCGCTTCACTAAAGGTTGTTAATGATGTTGTTGAAGCACTGGACACTAAGGAGCTGCTCTTTACTTGGACCTGTCCAAACCTTTGATCCTGTACATCATCACATCTTCTGACACAAGATCTCAGATAGTGGCTTCTCAGATCACTCTGTTGGCTGGTTCTCAAACTATCTCTCAGGTTGGAGGCAATGTGTTCGACATAACGGTACTTCAACTAACTACCTAACGGTCACCAATGGTGTGTCACAAGGCTCAGTTTTAGGTCCCACTCTTTTTACAATTTATATAAATATTGTAGGTCTAAACATTCCTGACACATCCTTGCTATCCTGTGTTTAGAAATAAACGTCTCAGTTTCTCTGATACTCCCTCAAAAAACAGAATGACCACTGGTCTGGGTTCCTCCTTTTCACCTGTTGGCTGACTGGAGTCCTGTTTGGGTTTCTTCTTTCAGGAAGGCCCAGTTAGGATATCCACATTGCTCTAGAGCCTGTCTTGTGTAGGATTTCTCCTTCTGCCTGGCTCCTGAGTAAACTAAAATAAACTGAGACGTTTATTTTCTAAACATAACGTCCCAGTGGCTTTTAAATCCCAAAATACATTAAAGACTGGTTCATCCCAAAGATCCAGTCCCCTGGCACAAACAGAGTAATGTTGTGTATGCTGTTCAGTGTCAGGAGGGTGATCAGTCTTACATCGGGGAAACTAAACAGCCACTGGCCAAAAGGATGGACCAGCACAGAAGATCAACATCATCAGGCCAGGACTCTGCGGTCTACACTCATCTCCAGGCCAGCGGTCACTCTTTCAGGGATGAAGATGTTCACATCCTGGACAGAGAGGAACGATGGTTTGAGAGAGGAGTAAAGGAGGCCATCTTTGTGAAAAGAAACCGTCCATCATTAAACAGGGGCGGAGCCTCCAGGTTCAACTGTCCCCCTCTTACAATGCTGTGATTGCTAGTATCACTCAGCCCTCTGTGAACAGTAAACAGACACTGGTTGATCCACTCTGTCTGAGAAGGTGCTATTTAAGAGATTGAGCTGAATACAGCACCTCAGACTGAGGAAGTCCTCAGGATGAGAGACGAAACGTTTCTACATTTTTTTGTTTGTTTATTTTGTTTGTTTTGTTTTTTTGAATGTCGAGAGGACCAGACTTAACTTTTTTTGTATATATGGTGGTTGCCATCTTTGACATGAGAACCCAATTTCTGATCATCTTTTTCTCGACTAGATGCAGCCACACACCAAAATAGATGTTGTTTCATTTATTTTTCAAGTTATCCGGCTCACAGCGTGTGCACGGACAGATGGAGGGTGTTTCCCATTCCCCCTCTTCGGTCTCTGAAAGTTGACAAAAAAATTCAACCAGTGGTCGTTGTTTTATTTAAATGATTTATTTTATTTGTATTTATTTAAACTTTATTTAACCAGGCAAATCCCATTGAGATCACAGATCTCTTTTGCAAGGGAGGCCTGGGCCTGAAGGCAGCCTGACATGCATGTGTTTGGTCTTTCTTCTCATTTGTTCTGGCTCAGGTCAGCTGGTGGCAGGAACCTGTGAGATTATAACTGTGGACCGAGACAGTAGCCAGCCCAGGAGGACCATTGCACGTCAGACAGCCCGCTGTGCCTGCAGGAAGGGCCAGATCGCCGGGACAACACGAGCAAGACCTGCCTGCATTGACGGTAAGGTCTGCTGAGAGTGGACTCTGGCAAACGGTGTCAGTGCAGGGACAGTTAAAGCAGTGGAGGGCAGGACGTATTTAAGAATGGTATGCATTTAATGGACGGCGTGTACCCTCAGGGCCTCCCATGCTTTTAGTCCTAAGTCCTAAGAATTCAGCACATTTGAAATGTTACATTTATTTTTTTTATTTTATATTTATTTTATATAAAAATGTAGTTTTTTGTGCTAATTTCTCTTATTTTTTGTAAACTAATTTGCAGGCGAGTAAGATTTTTTGTAATTTGTGAACACTGTGCTTGCTCAGGATGGGAGACTGTAACGAAGCCAAGATTCATCTTGTCTGCTGGATTCCTTAGATAGAGAACTTTACTAATTGGCTTTTATGTGAATGTTCCTGTAAAGTGCCTGAGACAACTTTGTTGTAAATTGGCGCTATATAATTAGACTTTATTGAATTTAATAGAAAATTTTTAATATTATTTTCAAAAAGGGGAAATACATCTTTTCAGCATTCTTATTTTTATACAGTATAAAGTTCCTGTGTTTGTATAAAATGTGACATTATAACAGAATTCATGCTCAATGTTTCCTGAGAACATGCAGAAAAAGATAGACGTTAGTTTTTATCCTTTCACTCGTGATCCAAGCAGTAAAATAAAAAGACATTCCACATTCAGATTCAACTCCTGCTGCTTCTCTTTCTGGTTTAAAGAAGTCCGTCTGACAGCGATGAAATAAAAAGGCCTACAGGGGAGAAGAAAGCAAACAGACAAGAGGCGAAACCTTTTTGTTTCTCATCAGGTGGAGACAAACTGAACAGGGCAGCGAGGTGTTGTGTTCAGGGACCCTGGGGCATTTACCACCTAGTCCCACTTTCCCCCTGAAAAGTTAATGACAGGTTGAAGGTAAACGAGTAAGGAATGCAGTTTCGTCTGTAGTAGCTACTTGATGTCTGTTTTTAGGTAAACGTTTTCTGTGTTCATGACTCAAACACATTTTCATTGTTCACTTCCTGTGTTTCCCGTCCAACTGTGTGATTCTCTGGGGACAGCGCAGCGATCCTTCTGGATGTGCTCTTTGATGAATGCAGCCATTACAAACGGCCCCCACCTGGATAAATGAGCTGAGCGGTGGTGGATGGATCTGCATGGCGGCTGCTTCATTTATCACAGCTCGCAGGTGTTCAGGAGTTTACTGAATCCAACAATTAATCCACGGCTGCTGCTTCTATTTTCTATATTTGAACACTGTTAACCGCTTTCGTCAGTTCTTCATCCCAGTTGGTTCGATGGTCACGGGCTGTTTGTGAATTAGGTTTCTCAGGAGCCAAACTTTCATGTTTCAAACTTTCAAACTTTGGCAGCACAACAGCTCAGTGGTTAACACTGGTGCCTCACAGCAAGAAGTATGTGGGTTTAATCCCCAGTTGGACCTGGGGTCTTTATGGGTGGAGTTTGCATGTTCTTCTCGTGCATGCGTGGGTTTTCTCCAGGTAATCTGTTTTCCTCCCACAGTCCAAAAACCTTAGTCTGCCTTTAGGCCCAGGCCTCCCTATCAAAAGAGATCTGTGATCTCAATGGGATTTTCCCGGTTAAATAAAAGTTAGTTAACAAATGTCTTTTTCACTTTACTGGTTTTCTGAAGGACTTCTAAGCTTTTACTTGGACTGTAGTTGCTTTTTCACTCATTGTGAGACAAGCGTATGCCTCAGTCGTCTCCTAAACAATGAATGAACATGAACTGTGTCGACACTGACAACTTTGCTTTTTTCAAATTGGCTCTTCTTGCTCTTGATTTGTGAGATAAATGAGAAATGTGGCATACTAGCACCCAGTCAGTGTGATGAAGAACTTATTTTGGTTACCGGTCATGGAGCAAAAAGGGCAGTTGGAAAAACCCTCCATCAGTGCATGTAGAGAGCTGAATAATTAGAAAAATATGTTGGGTACCAACTTCCATGTTGCTGTGGGGCTGCATCCAGGAGTAAGAACAGTCATTATCAAAAACGGGGTTACCAAGCGCAAATCCAAGATGGCAAACCAGCATATATATATCTTCTTCTTCTTTTTCTTTCGGCTTTTCCCTCTTCAGTGGTCTCCACACTGAGTCATCCTCCTCCATCTCACTCTGTCCTCTGCGTCCTCTGTCCTCACTCCAACTACCTCCATGTCCTCTCTAACTGCATCCATAGATCTCCTCTTTGTCTTTTTCCTGCAGTTGCATTCCCAACATCTTTCTACCAATACACCCACTGTCCCTCCTCTGGACATGTCCAAACCATCTCAGTGTGTCCTCTCTAATGTTATCTCCGTTGTTCAACCTGTGCTGTACCTCTAATGATCTCATTCCTAATCTTCTCCATCCTTCTCACTCCTTCATTATGCTGCTATAGGCTTAGACTGCTGGACGACAAACTGACCACAAGTCCCCTCTCTGCTACTGTCTTTACTTACTCTGCTCAACCTGTTTTGTATTTGTAATTATTTTTTCTATCCTTAGCATGTGTTATTTTCGTCTTTCAGGTACACCTGGACCTATACCTGGACCTGGACCTAGATCTGGACCTACCATTCTGTGTTTGTCTGTCTCTCCTTCCTGTCCTCTCAACCAGCCGGTCAAAGCAGATGGCCGCTTGTCCTGATCCTGGTTCTGCTGGAGGTTTCTTCCTTTAAAATGAGTTTTTCTTTCCACTGTTGCCACTGTGCTTGCTCAGGATTGGAGACTGCAACGAACCCAAGATTCAATGAGTCTGCTGCCTCCTTCGATAGAGAACTTTACTAATTGGCTTTATGTGAATGTTCCTGTAAAGTGTCCTGAGACAACTTTCTTGTGATTTGGCGCTATATAAATAAACTGAAT